TCAAACATACTCCCCCTATCCTGTGAAGTCGAAAGAGTTAACACGGTGCCAACGCCATTTTCCTGGCTCTGCTATCATGATAGACTCTTGTACATAGGCAAATCCTTGAAAGAAGAGAGAGGACGGGAAGGGGGGAAGCGATGGGTCTTTCATTCCCCAACAGCATAACAGCAGTGCCCCAGAAGTCCAGATCTAAAGCTAAAACTAAAGAAAGCTCTTTTTCGCACCCTCCGTGGCCCCTCCCCACCAGCCCTACCTCCCCCTCGGTCGACACGCCAGAAGCCCCACTCTTCCTCCTCCTTCCCGCTTCTCGTCGCACCAGGAGCCCCAGCTCCCCTTCCCCCTCCCGCCTCCCTTCCTCACTTGTCCCCTTCCCCCCTCCCGCCCCAGCACTCCATGCTGGATCCGCCTATGCTCTTGTACGGTTGTATAAAACTAGGCTGATGTTGGCTTCCAGCACGTGTCAGTGCCAAATTACCATCGAAACGTATCATTGAATTGTAAAGGAACTGGTCTTTCTAATGACAGATTTGGTCATTTTTGCAAATATAACTTTAGGAAGTTCAATTCCGACGAAGCTGCCACTGCCCCAAAGCATCTAAGCATTTTTGCTTTATCCTGAATAATTAAAAAAAGAAAAACTCTTTCAAAAAAATCAAAAAAAGAAAAACTAGTTCGAAATCTGACAAATTCAATTCACCAAAAATTGGTTACTAACATCTGTGCTCAGCATCCACCAATGGATTGCGAAGTCGAACGTAACTGTGAATAAGTTTTTCACTTGCTGTTTGTGAAAGTCGAGGCGCACAGGTGGCACGGCAAAAAGCAATGTATCTGAATAAAAATATAAAGCACTTTTCAAATGTTTAGAAATACCCAGGTGTATGTGAAAATTTTTTTTAGAAATACCAGACGTAAGTGAAAATTTTTTTTTAAACATACGCAGGTGTGCGTGAAAAAATGCCTAGCTGTACGTGAAAGCTGAATTTGAATTTGCGCAGTCGTATGTGATTCTGAAATCTCAGTTTGCTAATTGCCCGTAATTTCGGTTTATTTCGGTAAAAATTCTTTGTGCTTTACGGAATTTCAACCTCAATATGTGTAATTTTGCTTCGAATTTATTTTCTTTACAGCACATCTTTTGTTTCTTTTTTTTCAGTTTGTTCTAAAAAGCGTTTAAAAATGCATTTAAAAAAAAAGAACTTTAAAAAAAGCGTACTTTTTTAGAAGTCCCAAGGACAGTTCTCCTTCGGCTTCAAGTTCTGGTGGATGATTACTGGATGCATTCACATGCACCGAAATAACGTGTTTAGCTAATGTCTAAAAAAGATGTAAGTAAAAATCATAAACATAACACAGCCTGGGCAATTAGTGCCCGGACACCCCATGTTAGTGATGTTACTGGGATGCTCCTACAAGCCGTCATAGCTTTGC